TAAGTGGCAGATGTGACTTCTGGCTTCCCTCAAGATGTGGAAGTCCTATAAATAGGACTTAGAGGTGCAGAGAACATACACAACATTTCATACAATTTGATACTCTCAAAGCCTCACGCATCATATCATAGTTCTCGGTTCTCAACTTCATTCTTGTTCGACTGGACTCTGAAGGCTGGTGTGCTACAACTTCCGAGTGTTAAAGCCGTTGTATCTTTGGGGACATTACGCACCGACTCGTCAGCACTACACGGGGCGTATTTGTCTTGCAGATAGATTTCAATCGCCTCGGCTCAAATCTCTCCGCGTTCGAGTTGTAATTTAATTTTTTGTTTTAGTTCTTTTGTACGAACTGAACACTTCAGTCAGTTCATAGATTCTCGTTGTAATACAAAACACACTTTGTGTAACACTAATTTAAGTTTGAAAGATATACAAACTATTGGAAAAAACACCGTCACCTTACCATTAAATCTTCCCAACAATAGCCTTTACTTTATGGTACCCAAAATCTCAATCCTTTATAAACTCATAATCAATATCTAAATACTTGTTCATGTTGAAAACGGTGTCGTTTTGTTAAGTGGTTGTACGTTTGAACATTTCTAGCGGGCAACTACAAATAGCCGCGTATTTGAATGAAAAATGTTACGGCATTTGGCATATTTTGATTTGTCATATTTTTAGATATTTTGATTTTGTTATTTTTCAACACAGTCCATAATAATATATATACACATATCATAGGGAGATGGTAAGGTTCCGTTACGGTACCATCCCGTCAGGAGTTTTAACCGTTGGATACACATGCATTTATTATAAGATAGATGATCCAACGATTAAAATATCCGACGGAATGATATCGTAACGGGACCATAGCATTTCCCCATATCATATTCAAGTTGCCATTTATTTAACCCGAAAGACAAAAATTAACCATGATCATTATAATTACTGAAAAAATGCTCATACACGTACTACAAGTCATCATCAACCTTAACAACATGCATTTCATTTTGAGCCAAAACTAGCACCTTTCACATCCTATAAATTCACACATCCACAGCTCATAAACCCATCATCATCTTTATTTCTTCACATTCACACTAATAATTTCAGAAAATGTTTACACCAATGGCCAAAATTTCTCTACACTCCCCGTTCCTAACACTCTCAATCTCAATCCTTCTTCTCCTCCTCCTCCCTATAGTCTTCTCCCAATCAAACTCATCAATATCAAAGGGCACACAACTTTCCACAATTTGCAACTCCACCCTTTATCCTTCTCTCTGCATCGCCGTTCTCAATGGATCAATCAACTCCTCAACCCCCATCCGCAGTTACACTTGTATTTCCCTCGACAAATCCCTCTCGTCTGCCCAAAAATTCCTCGCCCTCAACCGAAGATACCTCCGGAGGCACAAAAACCTAACCACCATAGTCGCCCGAGCCCTGCAGGACTGCGAATTCCTCGCGCAGTGCAACGTCGACAACCTAAATAACTCGTACCAAACCATCGACCAAAACATTAACTCATCACCCCACATGCTCCCCGAGCTCAAATTCGACGATGTACAAACCATACTCAGCGCAATACTGACGAACACCCAGACGTGCATCGACGGCCTCCAGTCGAATGCCTTCGCATGGGGCGCTTCGGCCAGAATCGTGAATCAGCTAGCCAACGACACGCAGCTTTACAGCGTGTCGTTGGATTTGTTCACGAATCGTTGGCTTCGCTATAGAAAAACAAGGCGGCCGCAACATCCCAGCGGTTTTTTCGCCGGGGCTTACAAGAGAAAGCAACTCAAGTCCAGTGACGGGCGGTTCAAATTACGAATGTCCGAGAAGAATATGAGAATCTTCCAGACGGCAACCAACCGAAAGCTACTTCAGGCTGCCGACAATGAAATCGGTCAAGTCAACGTTAGTGATATCATTATCGTTGACCAAAACGGAAACGGGAACTTTAGCACGATTAACGATGCATTGGCGGTTGCTCCGAATAATACAAACAGGTCAAATGGGTATTTCCTAATATACATAAAGGCCGGCGTGTACGAAGAGTATGTATCCGTGCCAAAGAACAAGAAGTACCTAATGATGATCGGAGACGGGATCAACCAGACGATTATCACCGGAAACCGAAGCGTCGTAGACGGGTGGACGACTTTCAATTCTGCAACTTTTGGTGAGTATATATCAATGTACAGTTTCTAAATTAAGATAACGATGAATAATATCTAAATTTAGGTAAAATAAAGGAATAATATAATAACTTTGAAACTCATGCAAATAAAATTTTATAAGGTACATATATCTATATGATATTTAAATTATAAGTTCTTTAGCGTTTCGAAACCAGCTAACCCATTATTCCGTTCCCTTCCGGCAGCTGTGGTGGCCCCCAACTTCATCGCGTCCGACATCACCTTTCGAAACACGGCGGGCCCCATCAAGCACCAGGCGGTTGCCGTCCGAAACGGGGCCGACTTCTCAATCTTCTACCAATGCAGCATCGAGGCTTACCAGGACACACTGTACGCCCACTCCCTCCGACAATTCTACAGCGACTGCCTGATCTACGGCACGGTCGACTTCATCTTCGGCAACGCGGCCGTCGTTTTTCAGGGCTGCAATCTTCGCCCGCGCCTCCCGATGCCCGGGCAGTTCAACGCCATTACTGCCCAGGGCAGAATCGACCCGAACCAGAACACGGGCATCTCTATCCAGAATTGTACAATCCAGGCAGCCGAAGACCTGGCAGCCAACAATGCCATCGTCAAGACATACCTCGGCAGGCCATGGAAGGAATACTCGAGGACTGTTTACATGCAGTCGTTTATGGATGGGTCGATTGACCCGACCGGGTGGAGCCCGTGGTTGGGGGATTTCGCGCTCAACACCTCGTACTACGCGGAGTTCAACAACACAGGACCAGGGTCGAACACGAGCGCTAGGGTGACGTGGCCCGGGTTTCATGTGATCAATCAGACGGACGCGGGGAATTTCACGGTGTCGGCGTTTTTGCTCGGGGATGATTGGATTCCGCCCTCGGGAGTGGCTTACGAAGGAGGGTTATAAGTTATTACTAATTCTGAGAATCTCTGTATTCTCCTCTGTTCCACATAATAAATCCAAACTCATGGATATCTAAATAAAAATTCCACCAACATTACTAAGAATAAAACTTCCATCCAACATTAATTGCAATCAATTAATAGTAGCTTTTTATAGATTTTTTATATGCAATTAATAAATATTCGAAAATTGAAATTATAAATTTAAATCATATAAACAAATACAACCTGTATACTAAGTACATTCAAAATTTAAATTTCTAAACTTAAGGTATTTGGTTTCATTCAAAACTAGTACGTAACCCGATGTACGAGATATACATATTAAAATGAGTCTTTTTATAGATTTTGTCCAATAGGGCCTAAAAAATAATAGAGTTGTATCATATATTTTCCACCACATTTCTTCAGCGTAATTTTTGTGTCGGGACGCTAAACTTGGGTCTGTTAGCGCTAGCTCGTAAATTAAATAATATATTACCCCGTTAACACGTTTATAATAATATAAATTTAAAATTTACATATATATATATATTTGTTCATGGATATAAAAAAAATAATAGTTTTACTTATTCTTGTTCCTCTTATAAACACTCCATTATTATTTTGTTATAAAATTTGTAGTAATACAATGTCATTATTATTATTCATAAAAATTATAGATATACTCTTCTTCTTCATTTTATTCTATGTAATAAAAATATTTAATGTACGTTAATAATATTTATTAATGTATTTAATTTAAATTATGTACATAAATTTAAAATAAAACATTGTGTACAAATATTTTACAAAATATACACAAATATTTTTCTTAGGATTTAATTTATTATAATAATTAAACAACTTTGATTTTTCTAATTTGCATCATAGTGCATCATTAGCGTCCCGACAAAAAAATTACGCTAATTTATTATAATAATTAAACAACTTTGATTTTCCAAGATTTCCATCAAATGTTACTGAAAATAGTAAAATACTACATGACATATATCTTTTTTTTTTATTTTTTAAAGAAGAAAAGGGGGTCTTGGAAACAACTGAAAATTAAAATACTAACATATTTGAAATCGTAGATTGTTATAACCAATTTTTTAAATGAATTTTCTCACAAACTCAGCTTCTTATAATTCAAAATTACTAAGGAAATATTCTGAAATCGATTTTGAGGGAAAAAAGTTAAAAAAAAAAACTCAGAAGGAAAATAAAAGATTTCATTTATACATAAACTAATTCCAAGATCTACAGACATTGTGAACAACATTTCAACTACTATCCTCAAAAATCAAGTTTATTGCAAGAAATAAATTTTCACAAAAAACACCAAATATGTACTACAAATAATAATAGAAAAAACCAACATTAAATGTAGTATTCAATTTTAAATTTAAATCGATAAGCTTATGCATAATTTTTTTATAAAGTTAAAAAAAAAAAAAATGTTTGTACTCAAATTTTTTTATGGTGCAGAAAGTGACGTTTGGCTAATTATCGGTATCATAATTTTGAGTCTCACTACTTACTATATTGTTTGGAAAGTTTTTTACACATTTCATAGAGTAAGGATGTTTAGGTGTCTCTGTTTGCATTTGTAAAATTATGCCAGCAGAATTTGTGATGTTTGCGTAATTCTCGGTATTCTCTCAATATTTATTTTTTTTATATATTATGTATATATTATATAAATTTTCTCTCATAAAATTCAAGGCGAGATAATCCCACATTTTTAATTTATAATTATTATTTAATATTATTTAAGAAGGTGAGATAAACTCACATCTTTAATTATTTTTTATATTGTTTACCGTACATCGCACGGGCTATGCACTAGTTTTAAGCAAGGACCAAAAGAGAAAAAGAACATAGTTTTAAGCAAGGATCAAAAGAGAAAAAGAACATGAGACCTTAGCTTTACTCTTTTGCAGCAATTTTCTACAGATTATTATCAGTCATACGTTCATGACTCATAAACCTCAAATGGCCATACATATATAATATATAATTTATATAATTAGGCTTTGTTGAAACATTTTTTTTTACATATTTCTATTTTATCATCTATTTTGCTTTTCTGAACATACATGTATATATTAGTTTATTTTATTTTTGTATATTTTATTGTGTTAAATACTATTCCTTATCTTTTAGGAGTTTTACAAGGAAAGGAGAATAAAAAGAGATTATATAGGATTTTGGGATACTTGGACAGAAAAAAACTTTTAACAGCAATAATATTGGGCTTGGGGAAAAGCAGCAGATGTGTGGACTTATCAGGAGAACAAAGGAGCATTCGTGAAGAAATATAGAAGAAGTAGGCTTGGGGCAATAGGTTGAGGAGCATATTGAAACAACATATTTTTATTGGTTCTTGGAAGCATCAGCCGAGACCGTCCGTGGAGTTACAAAGAAGAGACTGACTTCTTTAATTTTACACAAAAGATTTATCGGGCTTGCTTTCTTTTATATCTTGTGTCCAACTCGCCTTTTTTGTTTTTCGTAGTTCACTAGATGTTTTTGAATTGGATGAAAAACTCTACGATTATTTTGTTCTAGTGAAATTTTGGCATGTGGTCTTAGTCTATAAGTGATTTTACTTGTAGACTAATTTTTGAATCGTTTGTGTTTATTTTATTTCCGCTGCGTATTTTAATTGTTACATTCGTGTGAAAATCTGGATATTTACGTACCTAGAATTCTAACAGGCTTGTTTAGGCTACTTGTATATTGCATCTCAGCCTATCTTCAATATAACCCATTATCCATATACCGAAACTCGGAAATATTCACAAAGATACATCGAAGTTCTTCGTG